AGTTTCTAGTAAGTTTTTAGGATAGCAATAGAAAACTAATACAATCCCCAGGTATGTGAACCTTTTGAGGACTGTATGGTAGCTTTGTGACCCTGGCTTCCAACACTTTGTCTGGCATATAGAAAATAGTCAGAAAGTGTTTGAAGAATAAATGAACTGGACATTCTCCCTCTTCATCTGCAGGTTGGAGGATAATACTGTAATCTGTCAGCATCACTCTCATAGTTTTCTCCCCCGTTAAAGACAATTCCTCTCTGCGTTCAATCAGACGCTTGGCTTCACGCTCCCTCCTTTATTATGTTTCCTCAGTCAATCTATTTTTATGATCTGAGTACTATGGATTCTGGTTAGCCAACATATCTGAAAGCGGACATTATTCAATTAGTACTATGAAAGAAAATAAATGTAAAACACACATTTTGAAAACTCTTATAAAAATATAAAAACACTGATTCCCCCAGAAAACATAGTAAATAGAGACAAGAAGAGCTCAGATATCATAACAAAATGTTATGTTGCCATTTTAACAATGGTTTGCCTTCTGTCTTTGGATTCAGTCATTTATTCAATAAGTATTTATTTATTACCTACAATGTATTGGGCATTGTGAATGTTCTTGAGTTAAGCCAGCTAACCACAGATTAGCTAATTGAATCAATTTATTGCTTAGTGATTGTTTGTCAACCTCTTGTTTTTAATGACTATACTATTGATTTAACCTATGAACAGTTAAATATATAGATACACAGGACAGCCTCTATATTCTAGTATTATAGGTCACTGGATGATGAACTATTATGAGAGGGAAAAAATAGAATAAATTGAGGAAGAAGAAAATGAGAGAAAAAAATAATAAAACCGAACCTTTACTGAGTACTTACTATGTGTTAGGTGTTAAGTTTTTAAAATGTATTGTCTCGTTTCATCCTCAAAACCGTATAAAATTTTCCCTTCATTTTAAAGACAAGGAAAATAAAGCCCAGAGAGATACGTAAGTTGCCCCTGATCCCACAATTATTAAGTTGGAGATAGGATTTGAAACTAGGCAAGCTGATTCTAGAGTCACAGTCTTCTCTTATTCTGTAGTGGTAAGAAGATGGGATTGAAGGAGTGGAGACAAAGATAAGACGGTGGGACGCTAGTGTTACCATATTTCGTTTTACATATAGTTCCATTAAATTATGTTTCTTTTTTCAAATTAAACACTTCTTTGTAGAGAATTCAGAACAGAACCCTGAAATACATAATCGGCCACTGGATTAAATCTCTACCATACTAAGCCAGACTTCACACACGCCCCAAGACTACATGTTAGGCACTGAAAACAGAGATAAAAAGATGGTCCAAGGAAAAAGGAGGAAAAGGAGATGAGAGGACAGACTGTCCTTCCTTTTACCAGGAGTTTCCAAATCTCAGCCCACTCTTCAACTAGGGCTTTGTTGACACTGCATGAAAATTAAGAATAAAATTTATATTGGAAAGTTTGCATGGGTAGATAAATGAGTGCTCAAAATAATGGTATCATAGAGAAAAATCAGAAGCCTGCATAATTTGTGCAATATTTGGCTTCTAGAAGCCTTGGAGACCCAATCCTAAAAGATGGAAAACAAAGTTGTGTTTCTAAGTATATTAAATACGAATGTGTATTTAATAGTGGTCTACATTTCTATATAAATCTTCAGATACAAGAAAATGGTGTTATCAGTGTCCTTGGCACTACTGATAGATCAGTCAAAGCTAAGGCAGATGATAATCAGGACTTTCCAGCTTATTGTTATACTTTTTTTGATACCTTGAATAAGACAGTTACTCAAAACACAAGATAGCCAGACTCGGAACCATCTATTTCTCATGCTTCTGTATTGACTTGAAACCATCTCATTCATGAGAAAAGATGCCAAAAGTTGAAGATGAAATGATTAAATAAACAACCAGATCAGATCTAACATGATTCACACTATAATCAATAGGTCAAACTGACATTTGAAAACTTAACTTTCAGTGTTTGTTTTGATTTTAAAAAAAGACAGAGAGAGAGAAAGTCAGGAATTCTACAGCATAAATGTGTTCCCAGTAACCTAATAGTTGATCATCCTGAAGTCTTGATTGCCAGAGAGAACTTTTTCTTGATTTTCAGCAGAGCCTGAACTGGTATCCAAGAATAAACCTGAATGCTGCACTGACCTTTTCAAAGTAGAAGCGTTGGAAACAGATATCCAACCAATGCAAAGTATAATCTTTTAAAGATGCAGTCTTCTAGCAAACAAGAAAAAGCCTAAGATCACAGTTCTCTCTTTTAAACAATATGCTATATATGACCAGGCCTATCTATTTAATATTCTTTGAACATATAACTTGGCCCCATTTAGGTTTTTCTTGTCTTTTCGTTTTGGTTTTGTTTGTTTTGCTGACCCATCCATCATTTCCTTCCTGATCAAGTCCTTTGTCACCTGAAAATTATGTTCTGAAAACTGTGTTTCGGTCAATAATCCCCAAAATGAATCCTCACATGTCAACCTTTTTCTAATAATTTATTCTTCATGGTCCATCAATGAGTTATAAAAATGAAATGACTGCTTGCACTGTGTTGTCATCTCCCCCCCATCCAAGAAAAATGAACAAAAAATACTTACAATGGTTCTTAGCCAGGAGCATTTTATCCCTTATTCACTAGTGGTAAATGAGTCAGATATGAGTTGGCCAGGAAAAGAGTTGCTTTACCCAAAATCTTAGTACAAAATGAGTCATCTCACTCCAAACACCAATATATCCTCCAAAATAACTGGCAAGAATTTCCTATAAAAAGAATCTTGCCTTCACCCTTTTCCATCCATTTAGTGCTCTGAGTTTTCTGATTTTTCAATTTCCTGTGTACTTATAATATTGTATTGCTAACAAAGGCCCAAGAACATTTCCACCTCTTTATCTCATTCTGAAAGTCATCTTTCCTGTATTGAGTAGGGGGACCATTCTGATAGTATTCCCCTGAAAAGAGTAAATGCTTTGGCTTTCAAGGGTTCTCCCTGACTCTCTCTGATGAAATTCATGCATGGTTCAATAAATATGCAAAAGCCAGTTCTAGAGGAATTTTTCTTTTCTTCCGCTGAAAAAGTGAGTTCAGAGCCACAGGAAATGTTTCAAGCTAAACCATTTTTCTTCCCGCAAGAAAAATCAATCAAAATAGATACAATCTCTCTAAAACTGATAAGCAAACATGAATCCAGGCCACAAGCTTCAACTCTGTCTCCGTGTACATCAGAACATGCCCATTCCCATTCTCTTTCTGCTATCACATAAAGTTTAAAAATCACTGTGAACTGAAGCCAGGGTTTAGTCCCTGTAGATTATCAACAGTCAAGCACACTATTTACCTGAGGATAAATAAGCATGCTTACAGAGCTCCAATTCCTGCCAAAGTGCTGAGATTTTTATACTACTTGGGGCTCATAACATGACTTATTATTCTTAATTATTTTAAGCTCTGCAATTTACTGTGTAAAATTACTTACAATTCATTTCAGGTCGGAATTTAAGTTCGTTTCTCTATATTAAATGAATTCTAAAGAATAGCTATGCTCCTTTTATATCCAGCACTAACAGATGTTAGTTTCCTCAGTTTTACAGCCCTCAGATGACAGACAACTAACTGTATTTGGCCTTGGGAATAATTGCAACACCTTTGGATTATGAACTTGGTTCATTCCTTAGCTGGGAACAGCAGGAGGTTAGTTCATATTATCAAAGATGTAAAATAAGTTTTCCCTTATGCTCCAGATGCTCATATGAAGATGCTTTCTAATACAATATTGTATAACTTTTTGTTCCTACTAGTAATCTGCTCTTTAAGTGGTTATGGCAAGAAAAAAAATAATTGCATAAAAATGAAATCTCTTATTCAATGTATCTCCTTCTTTTGACCAAAACAAGATGTTAAATCCATTAAACTCTGAATATCCAGTAAAAGCAAGAAAGCTAAAACTGTTCAAATTTGTGCAATCTTGGGAAAATTGCCAACTTATATACTAGTAGCAGGATCTGTGTAATTAATGGTGATGTTGTTGACGGAGGGAGTCCGATTTCATTCTCAGAAGCAATTTAAAAGTGCAAGCTGGCAGAGCTTTAGCAAAGCCTCACCTGATTCGTTTTTAAATTGAGGAAATGTAACTTTTAAGTCAGCCATAGAAAGCACCAATGTTAATGTATGTACATTTGTGGTGGCTTTGGTCACAGTAGACTTAAAAGACATTTTGAATGTAGTACAGTCTGTAGGATAGGATAATGAACACCAAAATGCACCAACTGACAAACATTTCTTAAAAGGAGAACAAGCAAACCCAATCTTAGGTTAACCTTATTTATTTTGCTCCTGAAAGCTATATTCATATGAAGACTAATTGAAGTCAACTCCTTCTTATCATAAAGTAAAATAAAGTCAGACTCAAGTGCACACATTCCTTTACATAGACTCCTTTGGAGGCAAATCCATTTTTATCCATTCATTGGACCTCAAAGACAGTCATATAAGGAGCTTGTATGTATTTAGGCTATCCAACTGACCAGCAATACCTCCAGCTTCTGCTTTCCTTTTTTCCCCTTGTTATATCAGAAATTTCAAAATGGTGAGAGAAAGAAAAATAACATGTAGAAAAATAGAAATAATGAGGGAATGAAGGCAAGCCCACAAGTATCTCTTTCCATAATATTCTGGATGGGATGCAGATGGATGGATAAATAAGGATGGATAATCTTTAATTATCTAACAAGGAGTGATTTTTCTCACCATCTATCTCATCCCCTTTATTTTTCTGTAAACTGCAACCACATGGTCCAGCTCTGTGTTTCCCATGAAGAATGAAACAGATGAATCCTTGATAGCTGACAGAATGCGCTGTGGCATATGTGGATTTGGAGAAGACAGGTAGTAGAAGTGGAGGAGACAGGTGAAGGAGAGCCTGGAGAGAGGTGCAAGAACGCTAACAATGAGCCTGGATGTTACTGACCTTAATGATTCCCCCATGTTGGATCCATACCTGCTGTCTTCTCGAGCAAAGGGCTGTTCCACATCCACTGTCAGGGAGGCCAGGGCAGAAACAGTCTCTGTTTCCTCCTGCAACTGAGCCCCAGCCAGAGCACAGCCCCTTGGCACAGCTACCATCCTTACCGACTTCCAGTATTTGCCTAGAAAAAAACATGTATCATACTTTATAGGAATTTTACTTAGAGCAGTGTTAATCAGAATACTTGTATAGGTCCAACTCAGAGTATTGTTAAGTTAAAATTCGTCGTGTTATACACAGTTGTAATTTGGTTTCTTAATTGTCATGATTAAGTCTTTTTCTCAATCTAAGAAGGCCAAGTTGTGAAGTGCTAATATTCCCAAGCCTGAGTCTCTCTCCCTTGCTCAGAAGGTAATAAAGTGAGGAATAATCCATGGTCTAATGAATTCACTATCAGACTGACAGCTGTTTCTGCAACTAAGTAAGCAAACTCTGGGCATCATGCCCCCTGGGAAACCCTCAAGAGACTGGGAGGTGGAAGTCTCATGGAGAAACTGAATGAAATAGTAACGTCAAATTGCTACTTGAGCCATTAACTTTAAAAAAAAAATGAAGTTGGAATATTAAAGAAAAGGAAAAGCCCAGAAATGCCAGCATGAATCAAATGGCGACTTTGCCAGAACAACCAGGTTTGTTAGTCCTGGATGTTCTTTATTTCTCAACCCCAGGGTGTGCACTAGAACAATAATTGATTTAAAACTTTAATATATGCATTGGCTGATGTTGGAATCCTTCCACACGTCATATGGATCTTTCTGTTTTTGAGGCAGGGAAGGAGAATGAGAGGAAAATAGGAGATCATTTCGTGAGAATATGCCAATGGGATAAATATGAAAGAGTAGAGTCAACAGACCCTAAGCTATTTCTTGTGAAGTGTCCAGTAGCCCCAAATGAAAGCAGGAGAATCTCCCTGGGTGCTGACACGACTCACCAGGTTAGAACTATCTCTGCAGCCTCACCAACTAGGCAGCAAGTTGGCATGCAGAGTTTGCTTACTTCCAAAAAAAATTCATTTAGAGTAGAAAAGGTAAATGGATGAATACTGCATTGGGAAGTAAGATAACTGGGTTCTGGACCGAGCTCTGCCACTGACCATCTTATCATGCTGGAAAGGCTCTCCAGCACTTTAATTCTGCTTCTCAAAGCAGGTGGATGGCCTCAAATCCCTTCCAGCTCTAACTAACATTTCGTGATTAGCTTTTTGTTATCTTATTGCTTCCCAAAGGAATGAATGTCACATTAGGGGAGGAGACCCAGTCTCCCCCTCTACTCCTCATGTCAACAGAACTTCCTGACATAGTTATCTAGGACTGCTTCACCTACTGTGATGACCTATTATGACCAGAGTCTGAGAATCATAAAGCTTTTAATTTGGACCAAAGGATAGCAATTCTAACTGTGAATGAACCTACAAACTAATACTTTTTGAAAGCTAAGGCTGTGCCAGATGTTGGAGACAAAAAGATACTTCCCTGACACCAAGAAATTCATGGTCTAGTTGAGACAGCACTTTTAGTTAACAAACAATGACAATTCTGTGTGGAAAAGGCCCATGTGATTCTGAGAGGAAATAAGTAGAACATATACTTATGATGACAGGAAGGCGAGAGAAGACTTGCCAGAAAAAATAACACTTGACCGAGTATTTGAAAGACCATCAGAAGTTAGTCAAGCGGAAATAGAGGGAGGTGGTGGTGGTGAGGTATCCCTGGAAGAGGAAATAGTGCATACAAATGTGCAGAAACTTGAGCCTCTGTGGTTTACCAGGGCACAAAGTCCACTGCTAGGCACAACTGGTACAGAAGAAAAGTCTGGAGTGTGATGAATGAGACTGCTGTGGTAGGCGTGGTCTAATTAACACACAATCTTGAATCACATGCCAATGATCTTGGACTTCAACCTGATGAGGGGTGGTAAGGGGCCATTTTAAGCAGAAGAGGCACAGAATCAGGTTTAAGTTTTTAAAAGATCCCTCTGGAGATATCATGGAGGATGGACTGGAAGGTGATAAGAGTGGTGGCAGAAAAAGCAATTTCACATCTTGGCAAAAGTCCAGGTGGGAAATGATGATGTCTAAACCAAAGGGAAGTGACAGAATAGAAATGAGGAGATGGACTAAAGAGAAGGGATAGGAGGTAAGCAATGGAAATGTATCTTGGCTTATTCTTTAATGCCCCTCTATCTCTTTCAACTTTGAAAGATGACCTTGAATTGACACAGTTCCATTCCAAGACCCTAATCTCTCTAGATCGCAATATCATTATAATCTTACCCAAGCTGGAGATGCTATATTCCACCTATAAGTGCATTAAGTTGTAATGTTTCACAAAATATTATTATTAAACATTATTTTAGCACATGATATTCACAAGCTGGGATGCTGGGTGTCATCCTTTCTTTTTTCTCTAGAGTGACTAATATGGGGCCTCTGACAAACAAACAACAGGTGGCTGGTAGTTTATGGGGTGAATTATTTTATGAACACTATAGGACAGAGAAATTAGCACTATTCAGCTCCTCATGTGTGCCAAGGACTGTGCTAGGTGTTTTCACATTTATAATTTAATTCAGTCCTCATGACAACTATGTAGGCAATGTTAAGTAATTTTTTCTAAGGTCACATGACTAGCAAGCAGAGGAACTGAAATCTTTACCCAGGTCTGCCTGCCTCCAAAATATCTCTTCCTCTGTACTCAGGTGTCCTCCTTTATTTAGTCCTCCTCTACACTCCTCCCACTACACATAAAAATACAAAAATAGACTCAATATATGAAAATCTCAACTTAAAAGAACTATGCATATTGCAAAGGAATTCCTCACTTACCAAAGAAATCATCTTTGGTAATAACAAGTTACTCTTGTTCCTTAGATTATGTGACTCAGTTCATCCACGTTTTATTGACTTTTATAGCATGGATTTATTGCACTAAGTGAGACAACAACGTTGAGACTAGTTCTTTCTACCATTCATTTCTCATAACTTTGTACTATTGCAAGTACCTGGCTCCCAGGTAAGTCATTGATGAAGCTATCATAAAACTGGAGACAAGTGCTCACTGAAGATTATGAATAAGAAGTCCATTGAAGACGGAGCCCTGAACTAAAAGACAAGATTTTCAGATTGAAGACTCCACACTAGTCCCAGAGAAGTCATTTGGATCACTCTGAAGCACAATTTCAACATTTCTAAAGTGATAGTGGTGACCTTGATGATAATGCAATGTCTTTTCCTGCTCTAATTCTAATTGATCACTGATCTCACATTACATATCACTCTTGGATATTAGAATAAACTTAGTATGCAGAAAATCTTACTTTTCTGTGAGCCTATGAATCCTTGAAGAGATCAGCAAATACTTACTTTTAGATAATATGGTAAGTCTAGAATAACCAAGGGCTTTAATTTTCAAGCATTGTACTTTTTCCTCAAGAAGAGAGCTCATGGCCATAGACAAAACAAACATTTTTACTCCCAAAACACAATCGGGACAGAAGGTATGAATCATTAATAACAATCTTTCAGCAGAATGACTGACAATGATCCTTCAAAGTTTAGCCTGTATGTGCGTGAGTAGTAAGAAAGATTTTAAATAGTTGAGACCTTTTGAATAAAACGTAATATGTGTAAAATATCCTGCTAAGTTAACATTAAATGTTAGAATTTTGGCTTTCGTCCAAATGTATGAGGTTCCTGAGTCAGAAATAACCCAAAACTTTAAATTCAATATGGTCTCTGGCAAAGACTATAAAAACAATGGAAATATTCTACATTAATAACGCATTTATAGACCACTATCTCTATTTATAAAGGAGATAATTAAAATAGAAATGGATATAGCACAGACTGTGCAATATGCAGCCAATTCAAACCCCACAATTTATGGGTTATATTTTGACATGATGGGTAGAGTTTTTTTCTTACAGAAGCATATGCACAAGAAAATCGTATTGGTTATCATGGGAATAATACCCCGATTAGAACATAAGAGAAATGAACCAAAGTTTACTGCTAGAGTTTTCAGGAGCTGCTATTCATAAAATAAAATATTAGTAACCAGCCACCACTGGGTTGCTCTCCTAAGGCAATAAAACTGGCAAAAGAGAGGAGTTTTCCATTAAAATTGGACAGACAACCTCCCTCTTTGGTCATATCCTCTATCCTTATTCGTTTTTCCCACTATGTAAATCTTCCCACTTTCAGCGCTTTTTTTCTTGGACTATTCAGTCTTTATTATTCTGCATTTTTGTTTTGTCTGGTAAAGCTAAAGCAAAGAATAAATATAAAAGAAATGTAAAAGCTAGATAACAGAATGCAGACAGTCAGGAGTTAGAGATAGGGGCCATAGATGAAGTGTCATTGGGTCAGATAGGAGCCATAAGAGGATATCTTGCAGGTATTATGGAATCAGATGTCAGTGTAAACCAGATCATTCTTGGTAATGAGCAACTTGGAAAAATAGGTAGTGGTTGACATATATGAAAGTCTGTGTTAGAATTAACCCATCCACCAAAAGATTTCCCAACCAAAGTCCTTTGACACTTTGGAAAACTCCTGACCCTAGAAACCTCCCACATATATCATCATCTCGGGAGCCTTAGACTTGTTTCTCAGATTTGTTCTTGCCGTTAATGATGCCATGCTTTGTCATTACACACCATGTTCTCATAGGAAAAGAATCTGGTACTGGCCTAAACCTGTTCCTATCCCCTTAAGTCTTCAAGATTATTAACACTTGGGACTTACAAAGGACGTAGGTTCATGGATTCTCCAGAGCTCAGAGCTTCTTAATACTTTTTTAATATATATTTTTTAGCTAAATGGAGAACTTTACTGGGATCCAAAGCATTGTATATATGCAAAAATAAAGATATACTGAAAATTGGTGTATAAATAGAGTGATCAGGTAATTTTTCATCCAAGTTGGGATAATTTTGAGGTTAAAATGGGGCTAAAAATAAGACATGCTACGGAAACACTCATTTTTTGGTCAACAAATTATTTTCATCAGTGGACCTATAAAATAGTCCTATTCAAAAATTATTTTCACAACTAAAATTCATTCTAGAAAATAAAAATCTCATGACTTATGTATGCCAAACCACAATAACCAACTTCTTTAT